TCCGAGTTGAGGAAAACAATTTCGTGCCATTCAGTTTAAAACAGGAAATCGGGAAGAGGGAGAGGCAGATATAGGGAAGAGAAAAATAAATGAAGTTACCCCCCTGAAAGAAGAAAAGGAGAGGTTTTGGGCCCCCCGAGGAAGGAAAAGGTCCACACACAGCTAGGGTTCACAGGTTCATAGCCCAGGGCCGGGCGACCAGCTCTGCAGTACCCAAACCAGGTGCCAAGCCGCAGGGCCCACGGGGCTGGCGGCTCTTGTGGAGGGAGGGGGGGAAGGAGGGGCGGGAGGGAGGAAGGTGGGGGGGAGGGAGGAAGGTGGGGGGGGAAGGAGGCAGCGAGGATGGACCCCTGCCCCTGTCCAGTCCTGTGCTTATTTGGCGAGGGGCAAGGGAAGCAAAAGGAGGCCCAGAGCCTCCCGCCCACCCCATTCGACACCCCCTTCCCCTCCCTCTGCTCAGCAGCACTGAGGGACCTTCAGTGAGGCCTTTGAGGCAGGCAGGGGAGGCAAAAAGTGTAAATACTGGTTCTGTCTTAAAGGTGCGAGGACCCAGGGTCAGGATGGACAAGGAGCATGGCAGCTCCCGGGCCGGAGGGCAGAGGGCGCTGCGGAGCAGAAGTCTCAGTGGGGAGGAGAAAGCACTGGGATCAGGCAAGCCCCATGTCAGCCCTGCCCCTCTAAGCCCCTGGGGGCCGCCCCCCCCAGTGCTTCCACCCAGAAAGAGCCCCGCTCAGCCAGGAATGGGGTAGGATGCTGCTGAAAGGGAGGCTGCCTCGGAGGGGGTGGGGGCCGCAGAGTGGGGCCACCTGAGGAGGTTCCTCGGGACATCCAGCCACCCACCCGTCACCCTCTCCCTCTAGTCTGGCCCTCGTGGTTATTAGTCCGCTGAGCTCGTCCCTCCCCCCTCCGTCACCCTGTTTTAATTCTCTGCACAGCGTCCTTCTGTCTCTTTGTGGCTGCCCCTTCTCCGCATGTAGGCCCCTTACAAACTGGGGCATGTTACTCTTGTCCCCCATGCCTGGCCCCCTTCTTGGAGTCAGTCTGTCCCTAACTGGTTTAGAGACCCTAGAAGATCTCTTTCCTTCCTTTTCCTGAACTTCTGTTTCCCCTCTGTTAACTTTCCAAGAGTGGGGACAGTGAGCGACATTCAATCGAAAACCTTAAACAGACCCTTGGCCAGGCCCAGACTCTCCTCTGCCTCCCTGGTCTCTGGGGCTACGCAGGCCTACTCTTCTTCCCAAGTGGGTCTCTCCACTCCCACCACCCTGCAGACAGCCCTACCTGCTACTCACCCCCCCCCCCCCCCCCCCGCCCCGCCCCGCGCCGCCCCGCCCAGCCTGGACCCAGGCAGCCTAAGAAGGGTTGTGGAGGCAAGGGGCCTCCAGCAGGCAGGGGCAGGCCCCGGGACCCCTGAGGAGGTATTCACACCAGACTAAAGTTTTGTTTTGGGTTTTTTTCCCCCCTTCCAGACCTCCACGTTTCACTTCTGGAAGGCCATCAGCTCCAACAGAGGGTTAGCAGGGCGAGCCCTCCAGGTGAGGAGAGTAGCCCCCCCTGATGCCACTCTCCAGCGACAGGCACCCAGGAATTTCCTCTGGAGATTCTCTGATAGGGACAGCAAAGCCCACGCATGACCCAAGGCAAGGAGGCCTCCCCCGGGAGGTCCAGGGTACGGCACCCACACCTCCTCCAGCCGGCTTGCCCCCCCTTCCCCCCTTCAGCCCCCTTCCCTTATCTCCTGGCTGCCTGCCCTCCCCGTCTGCCCAGGCCATGGCCCAGGCCCACCGTGCTCATGGCCATTACAAACACGGGGCCTCAGCCGGCCGGACTCCATGACATAAATGTTCATTCGTCTTTCATGAGTATTTTGCTCCCTGCCGAGGAAGAATGGTCCTGAATAGGACACAGGACACAGAGGCAGGAAAACCTCCAAGGTGGGCTACAGTGCACTGGCCCCTCTCGCAGATCCAAGGGGACTGGCCGGGCAGCTGAAGATCCAGCCTGGCCAGGAGGCCAGAGGCCCGAGTTAGATCCTATTCTGCCTCAAAGATTGGTGTGATCTAGGTTGGGAAGGTCGTTTACCTCCTGGAGTGGCAAGACCCTCGCTGTTAAGAGGGAGACCTATCCTTAAAGCTCCCGAAGTAAGATGGTCTGAGGTTTTTATAGGTCATCTTCAACCAGGAATGATGGGGGAATGGCAAGGATGGGGGGCTCCCGCTGCCGGGAACCCTCCCTGTGGGAAGCGTCATCTCCCATAAGACCAGGCCAACCCCGGCCCCGGCTCCTTCCATGGGTTCCTCCCTCAGGACCCCCAGTCTCCCCATAAAGCCACCCATGAACCCCCGAGCTCTTAGCCCCCCGGACTCAGCAGTGTGACTGCCCCCTCAACCTGGTAGCCAAGTCACCCAGCCCTCTTCCTTCTTCGGGGGTCCCCAACGTCTTCATCTGAAAAATGACAGCCAGTGGGACAAAGAGATCCCCCCACACTCCCTTCCCTGGTGCTACCCTTCCCTGGCAGGAAGGAGGGGAAAGGGCGAGGGCACAAAACCGGGGGCCCACGGGGCGAGGTGGCACTCGTGGGTCCAACATTCAGAGAGAAAGGAAACGGGTATGGGGCAGGGGCTGCGTTTCAGTGGCACCTGTTTTGGGTCTTTTGCAGAGCTGGCCCCTCCCCAGGTTTCAAGAGCTGCTTGAACACAACAGAGGGAATGTGGGCAAGGGGGGGCGGCGGGGAGGGGGGCCTGGGAGTCTGGACAAACTGGCACATACACGACAGATGTTTGCTCAGAAAAATACAGTAAAATCGTCATGCAAATATAACAGGAATCTGCTTTCTCACACCACTGGCTTTGCCTGCTTGCTGTTCTCAGTTTTGCCAATCTGGTGTGAGGAGGGGTTGGGGGGGGCAGGTTTCGGGAGTTGAGGGAGGTCTGCTCTGCATATCCATGCTCGCCCCCTCCTCTCTATTCCCCAGAAGAACAGTCCTTTCTTGGCAAATGTCACCCCCCAAATGAGCCCTGGGTTTGGTCTGTCCCCCAAGTGGGTGTAAGAGAGGTGCTCAGTTGAGCCCTAGCACCCCCCAGCAGTCCTCCCCCAGTCTCTACCCCGGGAAGGAAGGTCACTAGACCACCCCCCAACCCAGGAGATGGCACTAGCTTTCCTGGTCAGCAACCCCCCCACACACAGTACAGGTCTTAGTCCCACCCCAGTGCCCACCCTCACCCCACAGCCACACTCCCCAGATCTCAAGAAACCCAAGGGGGTGACAGGCCAGAGGCTGGGGGTCTCCGGCAGGGGTGTGGGGGGGAGCTGAGTGGGCTCCTCCCCATCCTGAGGTGGGTGGGGAGCCAAGGAGCACGTTGGCAGGTGGGCAAGGCTATAGGTGTCCCCATCCCCCACTGGCCCACGTCCTAATCAAAGGTGAAGGGCCCCTCAGCACCCTGACAGTGTGTTCAAGCCCCCACAGTCTCAGGACCCCAGATTTGCGCACCCCCCCAGACTCGACCCTGAAAGCCCCTAGCTGTTGAAAAAGGCTGCGGCCGCCTGGGCCTGCCCTCCCTTACCACCCTCTGCTGCCCACACTGAGAGAGAAACCCCAGGAGCCCAACAGTCCCAACTGCCAGGCCCTGGGTTGCCATGGCGACAGAAGCTGGCCAGGGAGAGGGAGGGGCCCTACGAACCTGCCTGCTTCCCCCCTACCCCCAGCAGGGGGGTGATGCTCACTGTTTGTGCTTTGTTCGATGTTGGATGGGGGTCAGCAAGGGGGGAAGCGGCCATCTCCATGGAAACATGGGAGCCCCTCTGGCCAGGGGGTGGGGCAAGGAGGGGCAGCCAAGAGGTGGTGGGTGAGTAAGCCTGGGAAAGCCCTCCTCCCCCTGGGCAGGCCGAGATGCTGCCCCAAGATCCCATGATGGGGGGTCAGGCAGGTGGGAGACCAGGATGTGGGGGGCCCAGGCAGGAAGACCCCCCCTTATACCCTGGCTCCCTACTGCTCCCAGGCATCACAGTTCACTGCTGCCCTCTGGGATGAGTAGGGGTCCTAGAGGCCCAGAGAGGCTAGGGGGCTGGGGCAAGGCGGCCTGCACCTGAGAGGCGGTGGGAGCAGGCCCACCTGCTCTCTCCTCAGACCCCAGAAGCAGCTCCCAGGCTACTTGGAAGACACTTGAAGGGGGCTGGTGGAACGGCCCCGTGCCTCTGCTCCTCTCTTGCAAGCAAGACCTCCCGTCTCTCCTGGGTGCTGGCGTTGGGGTGGGGGGCGGCGAACGACCCCCAGCGTGATGAATCACAGCTCCACGCTCGGGGGCGTGGCCATGGGGCTTTCTAGAAAGGAAAAGCACCTGCCTGATTTCTCAAGTCCCTCAGCCCCAGGAGACCCACAGCTCTGGAATGGGGTGGCGGGCGATGGGTGGGGGGGATAGCACTGGCCTGGGAAGTTGGGAAACTGCCTAACCTGCCACGTGGCCCTGGAGTGATCACCTCCTTTCTCTGGGCCTCAGTTTCCCCAGCCATAAAAGAAAGGAAATGAGGCCCAATGTCTGCCTGGTGCTAAATCTCCAAGTGACCTGTCCCCAGAGTGGGGTTGGGGGAGGACCCTCTCTCTGCCCCACACTCCTCTGCCTAGTCCCAGAGCCCCAGACCCCACACCCCCTTCTGGCTTCCCAGCCTGCGCCCCGCCCCCCCAGCCCCCCCCAACCCCCCCGCACACCCCAGCAGAGTCCCTGGGCAGCACAGTAAAGACGACTGGTTTCGGTATCAGTGTGTAAACTTTAAGGAGAACGTGTCTTTGTTTTCCTGTCCGTTGTTGTCGGGTGGTGGCTGTTCACAGTCAGGTGGTGGTCAGGTGTGTGCATGGGTGCGTGCGTGCGGGTGTGCGTGTGCGTCCGCTCCTCGGCCGCCGCCCCCCGGCGCCGCCCCCTCCCCCTGCCCGGCCGCCGGGCCCTTCCCTGGGGCGGGGGGCGGGGGGCGGGGGGGGGATGCCCCCAGCCCTCCCCCGCTCTGGCCTCACCGGGAAGGAGAGGGTCACAGCTTCTGCTGGGCCGAGACCCCCTTCCAGTAATCGAGGATGTCGTGCAGGTCCTCGTCCTTGGCGAACTGGACCTTCTTGCGCAGGGCGTGGCCGGCAGCCATGTACACCTCCTCCCGGTGGTGCTTCTTGTAGGGCCGGAAGCGCTCCCAGATCTTGTGCGTGCTCTCGGATGAGTACTCAGGGCTGGACGAGTAACCTGAGTAGTAGTGTCTGGGCGAGAGCTGCGAGTAGGTGGAGTCCCGCTTGGAGCGGGTCAGCGGCTTGAGGAGGGACGCGCGCTGGCTCAGGCTGTCGGCGCCGTCCTCGTAGTACAGGGCGGGGAAGCTGTGCCGGTGCTCGCTGCAGTGGTAGGCGGGCTGCACCTCCAGGTGGTGCACGCCGCCGCCGCCGCCGCCGCCCGCCGGCACCAGCGGCAGCCGGTCCAGCGGGCTGTTGAGGGGGCTGCCCTTCTCGATGTACTTGGAGTCGCCCTTGGCCAGCCCCGCGGCAGCCGGGTGGTCGGACACGTCCAGGCTGAAGACCTTGGCGCTCTTGATGGAGCCGCTGGACGACACGCTGCAGGTCTTGCGGGCCACGGCGGCGTCGGCGCTCAGCTGGCGCTGGAGGGGGTGGTGGGAGCTCTCCTTGTAGGGGGGTGAGAGGAAGCTGGGGCGCTCCAGCGCCCCCGGGGCGGCGGCTGAGGAGGCGGCGGCGGCCGCGGGGAGGGACTGGCACTCGAAGGCCAGCTCGGGGTCCCCGCTGCCGCCACCCCCCCCAAGGAAGGAGGCCGAGTCCAGCTTGAGGGCATCGATGCAATTGTTAATGATCTGGTTGACCTTGTCCACCTCCTTGGCGATGGTGGAGATCTCAGCGGCCGAGCCCTGGCCGTTCTCCAGGTCCGGGAGGTCATCCTCCGGCCGGGCCAGGCCATCCCCGCCCGCGCCCGTGCGCACCTCGATATAGTTGCCCTTGGTGGCCACCTTGGGTGTGTCCAGCCCGGCCTCCAACCCCTTGGAGGTGGGCAGCTTCTCCCCGATCATGGAGGGGATGGAGGACATGCAGGACACGGGCAGCACGGGGGGTTCCCCCAGCTTCTGGGCGGCGTGGACCACAGAGCCGGCATCCACGTCCGCGCCATAGCGCATCTCCAGAATGGTTTTCTTGACCTTGACGGACTTCTGCTTCTCCTCCTGCACGCGCCGCTTACGCAAGCAGTAGTAGACCGCGCCCAGCACGACAACCATGCCGAAGAGGCAGCCCAGGATGGTCATGATGTAGTGGGTGGTGGTGGAGGTGCTGGGCGCCAGGTCGCCAGGGACGGGGTCCCGCGTGGTGAAGGTCAGGCAGGTGTGGTTGAAGCGGCGGCTGTTGCGCAGCGAGGTCACACAGAAGGTGTACTCGGTGTGCGCCCGCAGCTTGTCCAGTGTGACGATCTCCTTCTTGTTCTTGAGCGTCATGACGTCGGAGAAGTAGCTGTTGTTGTACTGGACCAGGACGTACATCTTGCTGTAGGGGTGCGGGATGATGACCACCAGGGTGGCCGAGGTGAAGGTGACGTGGTGCAGCTTGATGGCGGGCCCCGCCGACGCATCTGTGGTGGACGAGGCCGGCGGCTCCACCGAGAGGATCTCGTCGGGGTTGAAGCCCGAGTTCTCGTCGGGCTCCCGCTGGGCGTCGGTGGAATAGGGCGTAGGGTGGCTGGCGGGCCGGGCGGGCAGCGAGCCATTGCGGCACTTGGCCTGGAGCACGGTGATGGCGTTGAGGCTGTGGTAGGGCCGGGGCACCAGCAGCGGGTAGCCGGCGAACTCACGCGGGGACTCGCACTGCAGGCGGTCGTAGTTCTTGGTGACGTTGTTGAAGACCACCAGCCAGGCCAGGAAGCCGAAGAGGTCGCACTCACAGTTGAAGGGGTTGCCGGCCAGCTCGCACACCATGAGGCTGGCCAGGCTGGCGAAGGTGGCGCCATCCAGGCGGCTGAGGCGGTTGGAGGACAGGTCGATGCTGATGAGGCTCGGGCACTCGGAGAAGGCGGCGGGCGTCACCACCTCGATGAGGTTGTGCTGCACGAAGAGGAACTGCAGGCGGCCCATGCCGCGCAGCATGCCCTCGGTCAGGTTGCTGAGCTTGTTGTAGCCCAGCTGCAGCACCTGCAGGCTCGACTGGCCCAGGAAGGCGCCGTCCTCGATGTAAGAGATCTCGTTCTTGGTGAGGTTGAGGTCGGTGAGGTTCCCGAAGCGGTTGAGCGAGGAGTAGAGCACAGCCTTGAGCTTGTTCTCGTTGAGCCGCAGGTCGTGCACAGTGCTGTTGATGTGCTGCGGGATGGTCTCGTAGGGCGGCTGGTTCTGGCTGCAGATGGCCAGCCACACGTACCCCTTGTCGCCCTCGATGAGCCAGCAGTCGGCGCGCACAGCACCGGGCCGGCACACACACAGCAGGGCGGCGGCGCACAGCCCCAGGCGCAGCATGGCGCCGGCCGCGGCCCCCCCCCCCGCCCGGGGAAGGCCGGGCTTCGGAGGGGCAGGGGGGCCGGGGCGTGGGGGGACCTAGCAGCAGGAGGCTGGGGCTGGCGGCACAGTCCTCCCTGGGGCCGCCACCATCTTGGGGGCGACCCCCAGCACAGGGGCCCCGGGAGAAGCAGACACAGCCGGTGCCAACTGCGGGGGGTGGGGGGGGTCCTCCGGGGCGCTAGCGGCAGGCGTGGGCCACCGGGACCGGGACACACACCGGAACACACCCCCACTGCCTGTTTCTGGGAAGGTGCACAGGCTCTCCGAGACTCGACTTCCTCTCCCTCCTCCTCCTCCTCCTCTTCCTCCTCCTCCGGTTCTGGGCTCAGAACTTCAGACGATTCCCACGATTCCCACGGGAGGCTGCAGAGCGAAGCTCCGAGGAGGGAGCGCGAGAGATGGGGCAGGAAGGAAGAGACCCATCTGTCACCTGGCTCCTGAAAGGCAGCACCGAGAGGGGATGACAGATCAGTGAAAGCTCAGAGCAGCCCCACTAAAGCTCCAGCTCGGGCCCCTGTCCCCTCACTACCCCCTCCCACTGGGGGTCCTGGTGCCAGCAGCACGCTGGGGTCCCTGTTACGTAAAAGAAGGGAGGGTGGTGGGTGGCGAGAGGGGGGGGCCAAGAGGTCGGGAAGGAAGGAGACGGAAGAAACAAGGAGTAGGGGCAGGGGGACAGAATCTGAGGACGGTGGGCAGAGATGGGAGACTGGACAGTGACAGGTCGGGTGCGCGTGCATGTGTGCACACAACACACACACACACACACACACACACACACACACTCCCCAGCACTCCTGTCCACACTCGTCCACCTGCCGGCACAAAGACCCACATGCCCTCCCATGAGCCGGAACACCGCAGCGTGCCCACGGACAGTCTTCTGTTGGACAAATGGGCCCGTATACACATGACCATGTAGCAAGGCAGGCACCTTCCAATCCAGGAAAAGAATTAAGAAGCCCAGTAAAATGCCTCCTCCCCTCCATGCCCAAAGATAAATAATTCATTTGTTGTGTAACCGCTCTTGTTCCAAAAATAATTCCCTTGTCTCAGCTTCCATGGGGGAGGGGGAGCAAAGCAGCAAGGCTGTGAGCCCCCCTAAGCCGGGGGTCTCCCGCAGGGGGAGGTCATGGGGAGAACTCCTTCTACAAGCGGGAGCAGAGCCACGGGAGAGAGGGCGAGTCTGGGAAGCCAGACACATGCCCCAATATCACTTCCCCAAAGTGTTTTCCATTAGAGGGCCTCGATCCTGTAGTCCAGGCCTCAGGCAGGCGGAAAAGCTGGCGGCATCCCAAAGAGTGTCGCCGAAGCCCCGCATCCCCTCTGTGGCTGGGGAGTCAGAGGTCCAGAGGGGGGCAGGGACTTGCCCCTAGTCACACAGCACAGCCTGGGCCAGGATCAAGGCTCCCAGGCACCAGGAGTCAGGAGGCCTGGAGCCCCTTCCATGCAGCCCAATTAGCCAGAGGGAGCGAAGCGTCTCTGCGTGTGCTGTCATATGGTAAGTGGGGACCAGGTCCCTGCCCAGCCGTCTGATGGGGAAGAAGTATGGTGAGCCACACTGCCCACGCCCGAGATGGAGAAGAGCAGTGTTGGTGGCACAGGGCTCATAGCCAGCACACCCTCACCTTCCAGGTTGGGGACTGAGCCCCGGACCAGGGGATACTTGCCCCAATCACCCAGCAAGCCAGGCAGCAAGCTCCAGTGCCCACGCAAGGCTCTCTCGATTGGCAGGAAGAGCCCAGTGCGCCCTCCCCTCGCCCAGGGCAGTGGCCAGGGGTATGAAGACTGGGCCAGAGAAATCCACCCTTGGACAAAGAAAGCCCGAGACCGTTCACAAGAGCCACCTCTACCTCATGCTCCTCCTCCTGGGAAACTCCAGGAGAGAGAGTGCGTTGAGATGGGGAAAAAAAAAAAAAAAAAGAACCGTATTAAACCTTTGCTGTTAAAGCAAAAGCAATTTACAGCCCTGAGCCCCAGAGGGCTGAACAGAGGAAAGGGAAGCAGGGAGGGAAACAGCCCCAAAGAAGTCCAGGCAGCAGTTTCTGTTGAGGAGGTGGCAGGTGAACAGGGCATTCGATGACCTCTCGGAGTAAAGGCGGACACAGCGACAGAAGCTGTGATGATCAGGACCTCTTAGGTGAGGCAGACTCACACCTCCCAGTCCCCTGCAGGGCTGGTCTGGGCTGAGGGGTGGGACAGGGATTGAGGGGGTGGGGGGAACGATGAGGGGGGCACAAAGCAGGCAGGGACGCTCCCATCTGGCATGGCTGCTGGCTCCTTAGGGCCTCAGTTTCCTCCCCTGCCACAGGCCACAAGGTTGTACTGGAGGAGGCTGAGGGGCCAAGCTCTCCCTGTCAGAGAGCCCCCTGTCTGCACCCCACCCCTCCGGCTGGGAACGTCTGGGGACCACATTTGTATGCAGGTACACGTGCAGGTGCGTGCTGGCTCAGAACGCCAGCACAGGGGTGTGCAAGCAGACGCATTCAAGTAGACGGATGTGCAGGCGGCAGTGTGTGCACACACGCGCCCAAGCAAGCACCCAGGACACGTGCACACGTAGCCCCCAACGGGAGTGTTCTTGGGTGAAGGTGAACTCACTTGTGTGTGGAGTGTGGGAAGGGGTGCGTGTAGGGGCATTTTGGGGACATGGGCAAATACCTGCTTATGCGTCAACATGTTTCAGCACATGTGTTCCACACGTAGATGTATGTGTGCACATGTGCAACTTCAGCCATACAGAGCGCCCCCCCACCGCCGTTCCCCACCCATCATCTTCAGATCTGAGCTGTTCAAGCCAGCACCCCCAGCCAGGCTCAGGGGGTGCAGGGCAAAGCTGACCTGGCTGGAGCCTCTGGAAATCCAAGGCCATGCTGAGGGGATGTAAAGAGGCGGGGCGGGGGGGGGGGGGTTGGTGGCAGGGAGGGGACTAGGAGAAGGGTTCCAGGCTTAGGGACCGGGGCTACTCCTATCTCGCCTCTTCCCTCCCCAGTCTAGGGGAGACAGAAGCCCCCACCCAGCTACTCTGAGCTCTGTGCAGCTGAGCCCTCAAGGTGACCCTGCCCGTTGCCCTCTCTCCTGCTCCTCTTGGTCTCCAGGATGTGGCCTGGGCCAGGGCCCAGCCCCCCTCACCCTCCCACCCCTCCCATGACTCAGACCAAAGGGGAGGAGGCTCCCCATCACCCCTTCCCGTGTGTGCGTCAGCCACTTGGTCCCGGTCCCTGGGCTGCCTGCCCACCACCCCTCCAGGCCTGAGAGCAGCACTTGGCCTCCCGCCCGGCTGCACACCCACTCAAGGTGTGGGGGAGGGCTGCTGGCTCCCACCTGGGGCTGGGGGCCCGCATGGTCCTGGTGATCCCCCAGCACACATGCTAGCAGGAGGAGCAGGGCCCTACCCCCCACTCCTGGGGCGGGCGGGGGGGGGAGATGGCAGAGGGAAAGGAAGGAGTGAGGGAGCTGCAAACAGGAGGCCAACACTGAGCAGGACAGGAAAGCAAAATATGGAGACAGCCAAGCCGGGAAAGACAGAGGATGGAGATGAATGGAGAGTGAGCATCTGAGACAGGAACCGATCCGCAGAGAAGCTCAGGGAGATGATGGAGGGCACGGAGCCTGCTGCCCACCCAGCTGGGGCCGAAATGCAGCGGGTGACCAGCTCGGAGGGAGAGGCAAGCAGCCGGAAGCAGAGACCTTTGCTGTCCTGCGCCAGGGGTGTTAAACCTGGGGGAGCCTGGCCCAGCCTCCCCTCCCCCACCCACGCACTGGGCCTGCACCACCCCCGCCCGGGGGGGCACACAGGTGTGGCAGGAACAAGGGACCTCTGGCCGGAGCAGGGGCAGGCCCCCCTCTCTACTGCCAGCACAGAAAAGGAACGTGGCAAAGTTGGGGGGTGCAGCGTACCACAGAGGGATCTTGGGGTGGGCCCCCAGTCTAGCTGGGGCTCCCGATGGCTCCTGTCATGGGGACACCCTTGGATGGTGAGGAGGAAGGAGGGTCAGCAAGCCCTGCCAGGTCTGAGGGGCACAGCTCAGGTGGGGTCTCAGTCTGGAGCCACAAAATGTGAGTCACTCTCAACAAATTCCACCCCCACCCTGTCTCTGGGCCTCAGCAACCCTCCCCCAGAAGCCACTGGTTGATCCAGCTGTTTTCTGCGCCCTTCTCCTCCAGGTGCCACGAGGCTCGGGGCGCCTCCATGGAATCCGAAGCCAAGAGCTTCAGAGCTGGAAGGACGAGGGGCCCTTGCTCAACCCAGTCCCAGCCTTTCCCAGAGGGGAAGCGGACGCCAGGACCCGGGAAGGGTCGCATGCCGCTGGTGGCAGGTCAGGCTCCGGCCCAGGGTGGCAATGGCGGATCTCGATCTGCCAACCTCGCATGCCTTCTGGGAGCTTACTGCCCCCCTCAGCTAACCCGGGACACTGCTCAGATGCATAGCATATTGTCTGGCACAGGGTGAGGTCTGCGGCTGAGCGGGGTGGGCCGGAGACGGGGGAGCCATGGTCAGCAGGGAAGGCGAGACACAGGCCTGGCCAGCTCTGAACCTGTTTCTCCACCTGCAGGGCATGGTGAGTGCCACCTAGCTATCTCCCAGGGCTCCCCTGACACCCCAGGCCGTGGTGGAGACAAATATACCGTACAGGGCAGGAGGCTCCCGTGGGGACACTGGTGGAGGGGACGTTGGTGGGAGCTGGGGGACAGGTGGGGGAAGGGGTGCGGTCCACGTTCCCACTTCCCAGGAGCAGGGACGTGAGGGTTGACTGGGGAAGATCTCATTTGCAGCAGCTGATAAGCCCTGGCCTGGGCTCTTCCCTGGGCCAGGTTGGCCAAGGTCCCCTGAGGTGCCATTGTCACTGTCTGGGTCAATGCCATTATCCAGGATTAGGAGGACTGAGGACTCCTGGGACCCAGCCAGCACTCATGGGGCAGGCAGCCACCTCACCTCTGTCTGCTGAAAGACAGCACCA